CTGCTGAAAACCAATCCCAAACTAAGTATATTTGTGATGATGATTTTAGGGACAGTCATTTAACAGAGTGCCATAAATAGCCTCGCCACATTGTCAGTGCTGCTCCTGAGAGAAAGAAAACAGTTTGGCCAAGTCTAACTTGAAGGCAGTTTCCATTCAGGTGTCACCTGGAAAGAAACTATATACAGGATGGAGCTTATTAACTTCCCTTACCCTTCATGTGTGATGTTGTTTCTCGTTTGTTTTTCCTACAGTGAGTGGAGTGCAATAGAAAAGGAGATGGGGGATGGGTTACAGAGTGCTGGCCACCACATGGATGTGTAAGTACTGACTGAATATCTGATAGTTTGATGTAAGCCAGATGTGGAACTCTCCCTCTTTCCTCTCTTTTCCCTCAACCTCAAACTACACATGAGTACCGAGAAAGTTGGGGGTGCATTGTTTTTAGGTATACAGTGTTTCTGTGACTTGGATGCAGCCACAATTTTAGCATCCATGTACTGTATTAAGTAGCCCAGAAAGTCTCAGGAGAACCAGAGGGGTTTCTTTTTTTATTATTATTTTGAAATTGTAGAAGCGTTTGGAATTCTTCCAGGTTTTCTTTTAAGCTACTATGCCAGAAACTGGTGGAATACAACTTTAATGTACTGCAGACCTGATGAGATCCATTTGGTTTTGATAGCAGCATTTTGTACCATGCAGTAGATGGTACACAGATTTGGACTTAATTAGAGAGTGAAGAAATTTAATTAATCGGCACCAAAACTCCGATGGACTCTTGAAACAAACAGTGACTGGATATAATCAAGTAAAGAATCCTCTCTCTTTGTATCTTTAGAGTCAGTTGGCAGAGTATGTGAAGCACAGCCTTCAAAATAAGAGTCTAGCACTTCAGAGTGCTCAGTTCCAGGCTCATGCTTTCTGCTTTTCAGGTAGTCATGCATAGTAAGTGAAACAGCATTTCTTGTCACTCTGATTCCTCTTCTGTAGCCCCACGGAACACATAAGTAAGAACTCCAGGAAGAGATGGAAGGTGTTTGATGCTTCATGCAATATTTTTATTAATAAAGTTGAATTTGTGTGGAAATAAAGTTATCAGCTTTAGTTTACAGTGCAGATTTACATGTGTGCTATTGCCTGGTTGATTTTGGTGTTGTCAAGTTATCAAGTTGTCAGTTGTTATTGGCCTTGTCAAGTGGAAGGATTTGAAGGCAATGCCCTCAGCTGCTCTGGAACAGTTTTCTGGTTTTATCAGATCTTTAAGAATTTGAACTCCTCTGAATAATTTATTCACACTTCTGTGTTTCGGCTAACATGGTGTTTTGCATCCAAGAAAAGCTTTAATATTTTTAGGCAGAGGGCTCTGGTGAGAATAAAGAGATGGAGAATGTACTTTGCTTTCAGAAGAAAAATAGTTGAAGTAGAGGTGGAATGCAATGTTAAGCACCTACTGCAGTAGGTAGGAATTTAAGAGATTATGAAAACATGCTAAAATGTAGTGGAGTTGAGGAATCATAAGTAGGTTTGCAGTTCAGATACACCACACTAAGATGTCAGACACCTAGAAATGCATAACCAATTCAAAGAAGTCTGTCTCTCTTCTCAGTCGGGAGGCTGAACCTCACCACACCTCCAAAATGTTTGATATTTCTGTCTGTAACACAGGGCTAAGGATCCAGAGTAATGGCAGTGGGTAACTGCCACTCTGAGTAGCTTTAATCTAGCTTAATCAAGCTTAATGCATGAGGCCTGAGGTAGCTTTCACTGCCTGTCATCTCCTCTGCACTGCCACTCTCCTACAGCAATGATCCCTTAGTGACAATCAGGCAAGAAGCAGCAGCTGTGAGATTCAGGAACTCATTCAGTGACCCATGTGGTCTCCTACCAGTAATGTTCATATCAATGATCTCTTGAAAGTATAACTTACCAGTTCAGTTACCATTCCCATAACAGTAGGCAGGAGTTTATTGCGACAGAAAGCTGCTTCAAGGTTGCCTAACATAGATGTTAAACTTCAAGACTAATCTAATTACTCTCTATCTACCCCATATGCTGTAGTCTTTACTAGATGTTTATTTAAACTTTTGAGTTGTTATTGTTTAGTATGATCTATAACTGCTTAATGTTTGGAGAAGACATCCCAAAGCTTCACTGAGTTTGTGCTGTATTACAAGGTGAGGTTTGCTAAAGTGACAGAGTATGATGAGAAAGTTGGAGGGAATGGCTGTAACTATAGCATTTAAAAGATGAAAGAAATAAATGCCAGACCTCTGACTCCTGTCCTTTATGCTATTAATGAGTGACCCTTTATCTCTGTATCAATTAGACTGTCATTGCAGGTGGAATCAGTCTAAACTAAACCAGGGCTTTAGCTGACAGTTCCCATGAAGAGAGAGAACATGTTGGTACCTTCAGAACTTCCTGAAATGTTTCTCCTTAACATTTTCCCTGGTCTCCCTAAGCTTAGGCAGTCAGAAATGTAGCTTGTCTTACTACTTTAATATTTTTCAAATCAAACTCATTGTGGCAACTCTGTGTAGATAAGGTAGGATTCTGTTTGATGGGATTTTTTTTTCCTGAGAGTTGTTCTGCCACAGATGAGCTCTAGCCCTGCTCTAAAGTTAGATCTTACTTGAAACTGAAATGTGGTCCATCTGCTGCCCTGAGAAATCTAACCACCTTACTAAAATTATTGCACTTCAGAACTTAAAAGTAGAGAGGGTAAGCCATGTGTGACCTGTGTGGCTGCAGGGTTTTTTCAGAACAAGTATATTTTTCAACAGTTTGGACTTACTCCTTTGATTCATAGTGTGAATTCTTGCTCTGCCTGTTCTTTTATCCCTTCTACTTAAACTGACCTGCTGTTGCTGGCCAGTTCATGTGTTATGTGTATTCCTCACCAGTAGCCTTGGTAAGGCTTTTTCTGGGTGTGCCATGCCCTTTATTTCACAGAGCATCAAAACAACTCCTCTTACTTGCAAACTTATCAAATTCATGACCAGATGGGCATGTCTACAGCTCTTCTTCAGTCTTCCAGTTTTTCTACAAACAGCTGCTCTCTTTTGAAGAGCCTTCATTCTCATGCCCTGCTTAGCAGCCTTGAGATGATAACTTCCAGCAGGAGTGTCTCCCTCAGATATCTCCCTTGGATTCCCAGGGTCTAAGTGACCTTGTTGTTTCTTTTAAAGCTTGCAGGAGGAATTTCTTCTTCTCTTTCCAGTCATGTTACCAGCTCCCTTTCAGCTTGAGACTGTGCTGCTTCTTCTGTAGAGCCACTTACAGGAGAGGCACAGGAAGAAAGGGAAAAACTCAAAGATTTTGCAAAAGCTTTAAGGCCAAGAGGTGCTTTAATTAGCACTGGATCACACTGTGCTGGTTGCTAGAGAAGCATGGACATATGGTCACTGCAGAGAGCCTGCAGATGTGTGAGGGATTGCCACATGCTTGAGAATCCAGACTGAGTTAGCAGAATAGGTGGAGGTATTTGTTTTGGGATCTCATTCATTGTGTTTATCCCCAGTGGCACGTGCCCTGTGTCATGGGCTAAAGTGGTATCTGATTTCTGTCTCTGTGCCAAGTGAGATGTGCAGTTACCTCTTAGCTGTAGGCCTGTCCCTGCAATGTGTCATCTTGGTTAGCAAGAACCTACTAAATACTGTCCAATGAAACTATAAACTAGAAAAATAAACTGCTTTTTGCCATTTTAGGAGACATCAGCCTAAATAACAAAATTCTTGCTGACTCTGAGCTGCAGAGTTGGTCCAAGCCCTTGTACTTCAGAGGGTTTAAAATGAGGGTTTAAACTTCCTGTTGCTCTGTAAGTCAGGGACTTGCACAGGAAACAAAGCAACAGACTTAGAAGAAGCTGAAGGGCCTTAATGTTATGGTGTTCAGAGCACCACTGTGTGTTCTGTCATACTCAGGCTGAGTAATGAACCACAAAAGCAGCCTCTTTGCTTTTTAGAAGGTATGATGTTCACATTCCTGTGTTTAAATGCTTTAAGCCTTGCAGGATTTCTTCTTTTTTTTTTTTTGGCCTTGGTGCTGCCTATTGATAGCCCACCAAAGAAAAGGAATAAATTGTTTTTCTTTCCTGTAAGAAGACTGCCTCATCTTCAGCAGTAAACTTATGATAGATTTTGTACTTGTCAAAAGATTCATTGTAGTGACAAAGGAAGAAACAAGCCTGCAGGAATGTTTGTATTAGCTGATTCAGAGTTTAATTAAATACAAAGGAAAACCCCTTTTTGGAAGTGCCTTTCACTGCTTTACTTTATGACTGGTGTTTGTCACAGAACCACAGAATGGTAAGGGGTTGGAATGGACCTTAGAGATCATCTAGTCCCAGCCCTTTCTGCCTTGGGCCAGGGACACCTCCCACCAGACCAGGTTGATTGAGGCTTTATCCAACCTGGCTTTGGATGCTACCAGGGTTGGGGCATCCACAGCCTCCCTGAGCAACCTGTGCCAGTGTCTCACCACCCTCACAGGAAAAATTTCTTCCTAAGACCTAATCTAAACTTCCCCTTTCAGTTTATACCCATTACTCCTTGTCCTATCACTACAGTTCCTAACAAAGAGTCCAACAGGTGTCCTCCCTTATTACTGTGTGTGAAAGGATACTGTATGTATCCTTTAAGGTTAAATTAAGCAAGTTTGTGTTAACCTGTGGCTGTTTTTCACTAGCTATGCAGCTTCTATTGATGACATACTGGAAGAAGAGGAACACTACGCAGATCAGCTGAAGGAATATCTCTTCTATGCAGAAGCACTACGGTATGTACAGAAGTCTATAGCTCAAATGGAAGCTGTAGTCATTTTGTTAATGTTGTGTTGATGGTGATAGGTTAGAGTCAGGTGGGAGTTGGTCTCTTCTCCCAGGCAACCAGCAGTAGGACAAGAGGGCACAGACTCAAGGTCTGCCAGGGGAGGTTTAGGTTGGATATTAGGAAGAGATTTTTTTTACAGAGAGAGTAGTCAGGCATTGGAATGTGCTGCCCAGGGAGGTGGTGGATTCACCATCCCTGGAGGTTTTTAGGCTGAGACTGCATGTGGCACTTAGTGCCATGGTCTAGTAACAATGGTAGGGTTGGACTTGATGATCTTGGAGGTCTTTTTCAACCCCATTGATTCTATGAATTTAATTTGGTGTCTTCTGTTCTCTCAGAAGTGGAAATTTCAATGTTGTGAAGACTCCATGTTCTCATCTTTTATTCTGGTTAGTCATATTTGATTGCCATATGAGTGGCAATACAAATCAGAACTGAGCTGATTAGTAGTGGAAACACAAATGTTAAAATCTGTATACTGTGGAAGGAAGTGCTTTTTACTCCTCTGGTTCCGCTGTTGCCTTGGCTTCTGGTGTAATAGTGCCTCAATGTGCTGAAAGCTTCAGCTTTTGAGTGAGATAGTCCAAGCAAAGCTGCTTCAGCCATTAGAAATTCTGGGAACTCTCAAAAGTGCCCTGGATAATTTTCATCTGCTGTGCAGCATTGTGCATCTAAATACTGATTACTTCTGTTCTGTTTTGTTTTACATTAGCCCTTATCAGGCAAGTCCTCTCTGACAAGGCTGGATACAAAAGCAAACGGCTTTATGCTGTAAGACTATGCCTAAAGCTATTGTGCTTTCCATGTGCTGGCTCTGAACCTCTTGGAGGGGTCCAGTAGTGCTGTAGAGAATTGGGTTGGCAAGTGTGACAGCTGCTGTGTGGGAACCCAGAGCACTAGTCACCTCTCCTGAGAGACAAATGTGCATCCGGCAGTGGAGCATGGATGTAGCATCATCAGCCCACACAGGACTGGGACTTACTGCAGGTGGTCAGAGGAAACTCCTCTTTTCCAGATGAAAGGCACTATGTGAATCAAGGAGCAGTTTCTTGTTTCATTGTTCAAAGCATGAAACATGAGGAATTTTATGATGGACTGGTCGATTGCTGCTGTGACAGGTACCATCTCCAGGTACCTTTTGTCAAAGTTGTGATTTTTCTGTAATGCATTTTGAACAAAGCTATTTTGCAGTGGTGTCCTTAAGTAGGTGGTAGGGCTTGGATTGCTCTGTGTGTCTTGGAATGAGTCTGAAAAGAGGAGCAGAATGCTGCTGAACTGAACTTTATTTATACTTTGATCCAAGCTTGCTTAACTACAGCATTTGCAGAGTTATGCAGCCTGTGATAAGGCTTTGAATTTGAGCTAGATAAATAACTAGAGGTGCTTCCTGTCAACAAACAAACAAAACATGATGCCATTTGTAAAGTTTAAATAGAGGGAAACGTAGCAAACCAAAGTATTACGTGACAGATCTTTCGTTACTTTTCAGGGCAGTTTGCAGGAAACACGAACTAATGCAATACGATTTGGAAATGGCTGCACAGGACTTGACATCTAAGAAACAGCAGTGTGAGGAGCTGGCAACAGGAGTGAGTCTTTTCCACTGTCTTCTCCAAGATGCTATTTTTTTTACATTTATTTTTTATTTGAGCCAAGTTACTTAGAATGACATTTAAATGGCACCAGTATGCTGGCTGTTGCTTGTGAGAAGCAGTATCACATGAACTGTAGACATCTGAGGTTTAAAGTAACTTGGTTCTTGATGGCGTTAGCTTTTTGTACCAAACTTCTTTTATTGAATGCTGAGCAAGTAAAGAGTTGGAGAAAATATGACTTGAGCAGAATAACTCATACAACTCTATCCTAAAGATCAAAACATTGGGAATTCTGAAGGCTTCCTCTGCCTTTTGAATGGTGGGTGTTAATGATCTGTGGTGTAAGTCCCTTTTATATGGAAGATAATGTTACCTAAAACATTATCTGAGATTGGTAACTGACAGTTGCTTAGAATTCTTAATGTTGCTCTTGGATCTATTGATGTTCTGTGTGGAACTCCTTTGTGGCTTTTCTTTCTCTTACAGAACACAAGGCTTAGTTTTTTCCTACTTCAGTAGGAAGAGTGCTCTGAAAATTTGCCCATATAAGCCTGAAAGAATTTGAACATCAAATTTCTTCCTCCCCACTTTTCTCAATATAATGTGAGCCACCATAGCTACCTATCAATGAGTGAAATGGAAGTTCAAGCTAAAAATCAGCTGAAGAATAAGCACAAATGCTGATAAAAGTCACTTGATGTCTTGTGGCTGTGCTCAGGGATCCCAAACCTAGAGTGTCTTTGTTTTTTGTAGACTGTGAGAACTTTCTCCCTGAAGGGGATGACCAGCAAGCTGTTTGGGCAGGAAACCCCTGAGCAGAGGGAAGCCAAGATAAAGGTTCTGGAAGAGCAGATTCAGGAAGGAGAAGAGCAACTGAAGTCTAAAAATCTGGAGGGCAGGTAAATGGGCTTGACTTTTACAAAGAAAACACAGGGCTTGTCTTAGCAAAACCCCTTGACTGGATGCTCTTGAAGGTGTTTGCATTTTATAAGTGTTTTTAATATATTCTTGGTGTTTATGAGCTGCCTATAAAAGCTCCTGTCAGCTGCAAGTTGTGAAATAAAGTGCAGTACATGCAGTTAGCTTCTGGTCTGAGTGTATGGCTTATGTAAAACCTGATGACTTTCCCAGTTCCTGAGCCCACTCTAATGGCTGACTTGCATGCTTTTATGTTCAACTAGTAATATATTCAGCAGGTGGGCTTGTAGGTCTGCAGCTGAATAGGCTGAGGCTCAAAAGCTGATTTGCTTCAAATGCTGTATTTAGTTTGGTTTATGTGTATGGGCCCTGAGCCTGTATTCTGCAACTTCTCATATGGGGGACAACTGACTCCTGTTTGAAAGAGATTAGAAGTTCTGGTGAGTTGTGTTTGAGTAACTGCTTCTTGGTGCTGTAATGAAATTTTCTTCAGGAATGCAAAATGAAAAGTAGGAACCTAGCATTCCTAAAGCAGTGTGATTGTGTCGGAGCACGTTCGTGGTGTAACACATGGGTAAGCATGGTATCTGCTAATATGTTAGCATTAGAGCTGGAGAGATAAGAGCAGTTCATGAATAGTTCAAAACAAGACACTCAGTAAATGCAATTTCTTAATCATTTTGACAGATGTACTGGAGATGTGCTTTTGTAGCTCTGGAAGCAATTTTCAAGTGAATACTTGCCTTGCATGTGTAGTCCAGCAAAAATGAAAGTATGAATTACAGATCTCTGCCTCCATTTTAGCTGGGGAGACCTGAGTACCTATCATCAAATCAACAAAATTAATTTCTGAAGTGAATTGTCCAAGTTAAATTTGCCTTGTAAGTGTTTGTACTTGACTGTCTCACATCCTGACAACAAGTTTCACATTGGAAAGATGTGTTGAATGTTAGCATAAAGATACTTACTTACCCCAACACAATCTGAAGAAAAAGGTGTATTCTGACTTATGCTGGTCCTATGCCAGTGATGCTTCCTGTGGAAAAAACAGCAAACAAACAGACTCCTGAGAACAAGGACGTGGAGCTCCTGGAGTGGGTCCAGCACAGGGCAATGAAGATGGTGAAGGGACTGGAGCACTTCACTTATGAGGAAAAGCTGAGGGAGTTGGGCCTGTTCAGTTTTGAGAAGAGATGACTGAGAGGGAGCTCATTAATGTATTCAAGTACATGAACGGGAAGTGCCAAGATGATGGACCAGGCTCTGCTCACTTGTGGAAACCAATAAAACAAGAGGCAACAGCAAAAACTGATGCACAGGAAGTTCCACCTGAATATGAGAAAGAGCTTCTTTATTGTGCAGTCACTGAGCAGTGGAACAGGTTGCCCAGAGAGGCTGTGGATTTTCTCTCACTGGAGGTATTCAGGAAGCATCTGGACACAATCCTGAGCCATGTGCTCTAGGTTAGCCCTGCTCAAGTAGGGAGGTTGGCCCAGATGACCCATTGCGGTCCCTTCCAACCTGACTGATTCTGTGAAACATCCACACCCATCCTGTGAAACTGATTCTCTAGGTTAAAAACCTGAAGAAGATGATGGAGAGTTAGGTAGCAGTGTCAGTTATAGAAGGATGTATAATAATCACAGGACTTGGTTTACTGACTGAAAGATGTAGCATTGTCATACACAACTTCTCTGCTGAGGGTCCAGAGGAAGGAAGGTGAGCTAAGGATGGAACATGTCAAACACTAACAGAAATAATTGCTTGTAATTTCAGAGACTTTGTGAAAAGTGCCTGGGCTGACATTGAACGGTTTAAAGAGCAGAAGAATCACGATTTGAAGGAGGCACTGATAAGCTATGCTGTTATGCAGATTAGCATGTGCAAAAAGGTATGTTTGGCTTGTGAAAGGCTGGGCCAGTGTGTTTGTCATTTCTGCAGGGGGGCAGAGGCAGACTTTGAATAACTAGGAACATGGCAGTCACTAGCATAAAAGCTCCCACATATTCCATCCTACTTGAACTCAGTGACATGTTAATGGTGATATGTATATAAAAATAGACAGTGTGGTTCAATTTAAATGTGGTCTCTGTCTTATTCTTACATGAAGTTCTATGGGACTTTGTAGAGTCTTCTGTAGAAGAAAGTCTGTGAATGAGGTTTGCAAACAGAGTATATTCCCACCTATTGATTTTTAACTGTTTCTTTTTAAAGGGAATTCAAGTTTGGACAAATGCAAAGGAGTGCTTCAGCAAGATGTGATTGTCTGGAAATAAATTCCTCCTCCAAGTGCCAGGGAAGGGAAGCACAGTGTATGACACCGATGTTAAGTTGCTACATGACTTATGTGCAAATCATGAAATAAATCTAATTGTTAATAAAGGATGAAAAGGACATGTTGTTAAATGTTTAGCCCTGACTGCCACTTCTGTGGCTTGTTTTATATGTGGTAGCAAATAATGCAGGGGTAAAAGAGTTACTGAAAACTACAGCTCTGTGTTGGGACAAAGGTATAGGGAAAGTTATCCCAGAAAGTATGAACTGAACTGTTCTGAGAGTTGTGAAACACCATGCTCAGTGATGTGTAGATCACTTCCAGATGCCCTTCTTTCCAGCCCTTGCTGTTTAGAATTTTTAATGCTCAAGGGTACTTTGGTTCTGTAATGGGGGACACAGTTGTGTTCTTGAGGTCTACACTGTAAGGAGACAAAAAATGTAATATTGTCATGCCTGGGGTTCATATTTAAATGCCTTTGCATGTCCATAGAGAAATATGCTTTTCCAGAGTTCAGGTTAAGCAGTCTCAAGCTCCTGAGATGTTTGAAACTCTCTACAGTAGAGGTGTTGTACAGTGGTTTGATAACAATATTCTGCATTTACTGATTCCCACTTCAGTTTTGATATGGGCATTGATTTCTTATTAAACTTCTTCCTGCAAGTAAAGGAGACTGGTGATCCAGCTGAGCAGCAAAACCAAAGTCAAAGCTGGTAAGAAGCAGATGCAGCTTCTGTTTGGTTGTTTGGAACCTGTTTACACTAGATGTGAATCTGACCTCTGGCACCTCCTTGTGACCGAATCGGTTTGGTTCTCGAACAAACAGTTCTTAATGAAGATGCTGAAATGAAAAAACCTGGTGCAGCTTCTGTAGTACTGAAGAGTGGGGATATGCAGAATCCACAATGAACCAAGGTGTCTGTCTGGCCCTTGTGATGGTGTTTCAGTGTGTGTGTGTATATGTGTGTATATATATACACACCAGTATAACATGGTTTGCAGTTACAGGTATTTGCATTAAATGTTTCCAGTCATGAAAGTCACTTACCATTGTCTAATATTGGGCTTTTTCTACATCCTTACTGAAAGTCCCTGAAGTCTCGTGGAATTTGTCAGACTTGGTTGCTAGTCCTGAAGGAAGCTTTGTACTATTCTGTTGAAAAGTGTATTTAATTATTCTGGATTATAACACTACTCAGATTTTTTTAAAAAGAGATACTCCAGAAAGTCCTCAAATGTCCTTTTGATAAAACTATCTACACGTAGTTACTGATACGTCCCATGTTACTTTTGTCTCTGCAGCATTTCTTTTCTATAAAACCATTGTTAAGAATTCATAGATCTGGTGTACACTACAGCGTAAACTCTGGAGTAAAACACTGGTCACTCTGATAACCTGTGTTGGCTTTTCAAAGCATACGACAGTGACACACCTGGCTGAGAGATGATGTTGGGCAGAAAGAGGTCTCTCCATTTAACCTTTACAAGGAGAAGTGTTGTTCCATGCAGGGGTTGCAGTATCTGGCTCCAATACAGGCTGAAGGACTCTTACATTCCAAACCAAGAAGTTGCACACTTGATGTATTCAGTAAACCTTCTAAAGGAGTGGTGCCTTAACACAATACCATGAGGCGCTCAGAGTAGGTATTTTTCATGCACTTTGATTTTTGGTAGATCCTTCTGGTGCCTCTTACCACATGTCACTTGCTGTACAGCTCGTTAAATGTATTAGTATGCCTTCTTTTTTTTCCTTGCTTAGTTGTACTAAATTTAAGGGAACAAAGCAGTTCTTGTAAGTTTTGTGCCAAATAAGATAAATAAAATTGCTCTTTGATATTTTTGTTATGTTGTTTTTTGTAAAATTGCTGTCTTCAGTTCTGAAAACTGCTGTTTGGTTTTGCAAAATTGGTTCTTGTCCATCTTAGCTCTCAAGTGGCCTCCAAATTTGGGTTTAAATTTTAAGGAATTGTGCACAGCTTGGCTTTTAGGTGAAGAACACAGCACTAAGGCCAAAATTAGATGCTTGGTGCAAGTCAGCTGTCTGAATTTTGTGAGTGTCTTCATCTAGCTGAGAGAAGATGCATTGGAAAATGGTTTGCATTGTTGGACAGAAATTGGGTGAAAGGCAAGTTAAGGACAATTTGCAATAACTTATTTCTTTCTACTCTTGCCAGAAAAGCATTGCATGCTGTCTGTCTACTTTGGGATCTTAGCACAGTGAAGGTTTCTCCTCTTTTATCTTTTGAATTTTCTAAGGTGAAACCACCTAGTTCATGGCTATTTCCATGTGGGTAACAGAGCCCACATGACAGACTCACACTTGCAAAGTGTGCATTTTTCCAGCTACACTGTGGGGTTAACTCCCATAACTTGTTCTACTTTGCCTAGATGAGCTTCCTTCAGTTATGCAATAAACATCAAGGATTAGTGGAAGGCCTTGAGAATAAGAGCAGGTAGACAATTTTAACTTAATCTCGACAAAATACTTGTATATGAAAGTGTTTGCCTGCCTAAATCATCTGATTTGCTGATGGAGCTGTCACTTCTGTCCCAGGAAGCTTTGCTGGGTGGATTTTCACTGCTCAGGCTATCTCTGACCTTCCCCATTGCTAGCAGGACCATGACATGTCAGTGCATTTTAGTGGCTACTGTTGTCTGCTCCTGAAATGCAGCTAGGGTGAGGGAGCCAGCTGAAATGGAAAGATAGAGTGATTTTATGAACTCTTTCTCTAATGTTGTATTATTATTCCAGTATCTGGCACGTCAGCCCAAGCAGTGTTAACATAGCAGCTGTGTGCAGGGACTGCCTTGGCAGGCACAGAGCAAATCTTGGAGCTGGAGCCCACACTGAGGAGTTTGCCTTGTGCAGGTGAGCCAGAGGAAAGTGGTGGCTGTGGCCAAACACACAGCAGAGCCAGCAGAGCAAGGCTGAAGTCCCAGAGCAGCTGACTGGGCTGGGAGTGCTGCATCTGAGGATGGGAGTGCTTATTTTCCTATATCACTCTCCCTACCATGGAAATTCCTTTGTGCATTTTAGTTTGAGAAATGAGAAATGCTTTCTGATGTTTGTAATCTAAAGGATTACAGGGAAGGAAGTTGATTTAATTCCCCACACTTGTCACACTATGGCAGAGCAGGGCTCTAATCCATGCTTCCTTGTGCCCTTTGTTCTGCACATCCCTGGTGCCTCCGTCTTGTATTTCTCCCCAGAACTCTGTGAGGAGGCACAGCCTTGCAATGAAAATCCCCATACAGAGCTGCTCTAGAAGCAATGCAGAGAAAGGAAGCAAGAGGAATGGGAGATGGTAAACTGGGAGCACAGGCCTTAGTGTCAAATCCAAGTATGGAACACTTGTATATCACCAGTAAAAGCAGTTGCCTTCGCAAGCAGTTGCTTTGCTGCTGCCACAGAGTCCATCTCTGCTCCTGCCTGGCAGGCTCACACCCACCTCCCCAGCAGAGCTGTGTTTCTAGGTGCAGGGATATCTCCCTAAGGATGTCACTCTTGATCCAGGTCTGAGAGACCTTGGCAGCGCGGGAGAGGAACTGGTGTGAGCTGCTTCCCTCTATGGGCAGCCACCGGGGACAGACAGGATGCTCGAGCAGCACTGAGCAGAGTGTGACAGAGGCTTCGTTGTCCCCCCAGCTGAAACAGGGGGTCACCTATGTCCCCTCTGCACTAGGACTGCTGTGAGCACCTTGGACAGTCTGGAGAGCCTCAAGTTCCTGCTTAAACAAAGGATTGTGACACTCTGGCTACTGTTTTCTGGTGGTTGTTGGTGTGATACAGTGTTATCAAAATGATTTTGCAATTGTAACTTCTGTAGGGTCAATTGCAGAGGAGGAACTATTTTATTTGCTGTATTGTAGTTGCTTTTGAGTGGCTTACCTAGACTGGCCTTCCCAATGCTGTGATTTCTTAAAAAAACATCTTTTTGCTCTGACTGATTGTGGAAGGTATCTAAAACATGAAACAAAGACAAATTGGAAAGGATTTTGGATGGATTTGGAAGAAAACAGCTCCAGACAGTGAAAGAGTATTTTGAGGTAAGGGGAGATGTTGCCATGGTTGGAAAGGTAATGAGGGGGTTAAGCTGCACATGAGGGCAGACAGGTTTTGAGGAGAGATGCACGAGAGGCTGAGGAGGTAAGAGGAAGACAAGAAACAGGGAGAGCAGAGATGGGATGGGTGGAGGAACTGGAGAGGAGAAGTGAGAAGTTTCTGCACCTGCAGGCTGGGCTGTACAGAAGAGGAAAACATCACTGTGTGGTCCTTGTTTCGGAGAGGTTAAAAAGAAGTGAGGGAGGTGTTGGAAACAGGGGATAAGGAAATTTCAAGATATGTCAAAGGCAGCTATATAATACTAATGATAGTCTGAGGGAAACTTGTAGTGGTGACTGTGGTCTTGAAGCTGAGTTCAACACTGATAATGGTGTAATATTTCTCTCCAGTTCAGGAGAGATTTAATTTTTGTCTAATATTTTTGATCTATAGTTAACATTATCATTTTGACTTTTCTGAATAAATAAAATAGGAGAAGTTTCAGTCTTCAAAACCCAGCATAAACTTTGTGGTCGCCCCACTCCTACAAACACCAGCATAATCAGCCATGGGATCTGGGGCCCTGCTGGCTGATGCAGCTCTGAAACAGGCTATGCCATGTACCACCAGCATCCCAGGGAATACAAATAATAAAAAGCTTCTTCATCTGCAGCAAACGTGTTCTGTTATCTATATACATCGTGGCATATGATAACATCAATTACACTCTCTTCAGAAAGCAGCTGTAAGTGGCCGCAGAGGAGGAAAAGTAACGTTGTGGTGAGGCTCCCCGGGATGCTGAGGTGGAAAACGATGTAGTCAGAGGGAAAAGGCAACCCCGACCGCCCTCTTGTGGGTCTCCAGCACGGGCTCGCAGGGCCCGGGATATAGCTGCAGAGGGAGGGAGGGCGAGTTACTCCTCTCCTGCCCTGCAGAGGTGCGAGAGCCATAGAACAGCCGTGGTGTAATTAATGCCTGAATACAAAGGGATAGTTAACCTGGAGCAGATTTCCATGCAGAATTTAGTGATAGTTTGTGTCTTGCTGTAAATGGCTGTTAATAATACTGTGTATTACGCTGTGACTTGCAGCTCGTGTGCAGGTTCCTTGGGCACATTCCACACTGTGCTAAGGATTCCCTGAGTTGGACTTAAAGGTTTCTGAGCTAGCAGTATTTTTATTTCATTTAGTAGCTGCCTGGAAGTGGTGCCAGCTGCATAGTCAGAAGGGACAATCTGTGTCCACTTGTGTAAGCAGCACTCCTGTGTAAGAGATGGCAAAACTGCCCTGGCCCAGTGCTGCTTTGCATGAGTTTTTTCTGAAGCATGTGCTCTCTGGTGATACAGGAGCCAAATCCCATGGTGGTTGTTCAGGGGCTAAAAGTATAGACTTTTTTTCAAGTCTCATTTGTCTGCTTTATCTTCCAAGCGAAGTGCTGGTGGCTCCTGCCTGCTCATCTCTAATGGCCCTGCAGATGCTGAATGCTCAGGGGACAGCAGAGAAGAGCCATGGGCTCTTTGTGTTGCCTCCTCCTGGGCCACAGGACAAGAGCTGTACATCCCCCTC